CTATCCGTTACATTCGATTCCCACCCAAATCTAGGAAAATAGTTAGCATCGAGGCAAAATCTCGCGTCGAGCGCCCAACCTTTTTTCGCCCCCTTTTTCCCCCCATACCAACCCTTTTTTTGCTCTCTCGCCTGTTGTCATCTCAACACGTGTAGCGCTTATTCTCCGCTGCTTGCGTTGGAGGTATGGACTCCAATACAGACGCTAAGCCAAAATCTATTTACTTAATTTCCTAGCATCAACGGGAGCGACAGGTTGGCCGGGCCAGGCAAGCGGGGAACCACAACCTCATTTTTAGTTTTTCTTAAACTTATGCTATAATTTCAAATATTACAAATAAATATATTATAAAAACACTTTATGTAAAACATTATAGAAATATACCAAGCCTTTAAAAATTGTTAAATGCGTGCAGAGAAAATATTTATCATCTATGCAAAAAATATGCAATGTGTGTCAAAAAATGATCATTTATTTTATAAAGATAATCAAGCACTTAAAAAATTAAACAAGTATTTCAAAAGGTTAATCAGGCATTTGAATATTTTTAAATGTGTATAGAAAAAAATGACAGTGTATCAGAAAAATGTTAGATTTGTATTTGAAAAGTGTTAATTAGTTATTTAAAAAATGTTAAATGTGTATTGGAAAAATGTTGACCATGTATCCAAAAAATGTTAAAGTTGTATTTACATTTTTTTAATCACACACTCGAAAAATGTTAAATGTATATCGAAAAAATGATGAACATCTATTAAAAAAATCTTAATCTCATATTTGAAAATTTTCAATCAAGCATTTGAAAAATGTTAAATGTGTACAAAAAAATTATTGACCATGTATTAAAAAATTATATTGTATTCAAAAATATTAAAAATGTATAATAAAACATTAGATATATACCGAAACATGTGTACAGAAATACAGTGAAAACCAAGAGGAAACAAAAAAAGCGATTGAAAATGAGAAAGGAACAAGCAAAACCAAAGAAACAAAAGGTAAAAACACAAAAAAAACGATAAAAAGAAAAAGGAAGCAAAAATGATGGATAATTGAAGAAAGACCATGAAGAAACAAAGAAAACCGGTAAGAACCGTGAAAACCAAAAAAATGATGAAAAACAAAGAAAACACAATACCAAAGAAAACAGTAAAGAAAAACAGAAGTAAATGAAACAAAAAAAAACCAGCGAACGTAATTGAAATCCTGAGGACAAAAAAAAAACAAATTTGGACTGAGCCAGTAGCTACAGTTAAGGAGAATCGTTCAGCGTAACAGAAAGAACACTCGTGTGAAGCGAGATATAGTCGACGTGGGGCGCATCTATACCTCGCCTGTTGCGAGTTGCACGATCGCCTCGCCTACTGCTGACGAAGCACGGGCGGACCTAGCAAGTTATATCACGTGAGACCTATACTGTACCAATGTGGAGACTATAAGCGACCAACGAAAATGGTCGACGTAACATGTCCGTGCATTCTTTCTCATTTTGTTTTTACCCTTTTTTCGTTTCTGTTTCCCTATTCTTTTAGGTAAAATACAGGAAAATGTTCACACTTAATTTTTGTTAGGGTAATTCCAAATACTGTAGATAGCTTTAAAACATGTTTGCAACATATAAAATATATTCATGTGTTTGAAAAAATGTATATGAGAAATGTTTATACATTGTAAAAAAAATGTTTGTGTAATTCAAAAAACTATAATTTATATATTAAAAAAAGAATTGCACTTGTATTTAAACTTTCCAAAAACATGTATTTGAAACAAAGTTAAGCATGTGGAAAAAGATGTTATTTATGTAAAAAATGTACAATGTATATTGTTATTTTTCGTCTAATGTACACTATATATGAAAAAGGTAGACACCAAATCATATATTTGAAAAAAAATCATATATTTAAGTAATTGTGAACCATGTATAAAAATAGTTTTTCAAACGTTTTACAAAAAATGTGAAGTGTGTATAAAAGATCTTCCTTATTTATTAGAAATTTTCAGAATGTATATGGAAAAGTATATATCAGCACATATTTTTAGAAAGTTGTAAATACTGTGTCCAGAAAATATCAAAATTGTATAAGAATAAATTTCAGACGTATACAAAAAATGTTAATGGTAAATAGAACTAAAAAATTCAATTATATCTGAAAAATGTTGATAGTATTCAAAAAATGTTTTCCAAATTTCAAAAATGATCAGGAATTTCGAAAAATGTATGTAAGATTTTAGAAATGTTAATCATGTGTTTGGAAAAAGAGACACATTTTTTTTAAGATTTCTATGAAAAATGTAAAATGTTCATGGGAAAACAAGAAATCATACAAGTATTTGAAAGAAATGTTAACCAGTGTATTTAAAAATAATTAACATGTATTAAAAACATTTGAACTTGTACAAAAAGTAAACATATATTAGAGACATTAAAACATGTATACAAAATGCTCTTGATATATACGCTAAATGTATATATGAAAATCATCTATTCCAAAAAATGTTAATTGTGTATTAAAAAATATCTAACATGTATAAAAATAATCTTTCACATATATATGAGAAATGTACATAGTAAACCGAGGAAAGGATAAAAACATCACAAGGAAAAGAAAACAAAAGTCCAGCAAAAAGGTTCTCAAAAACAAAGAAAAAATGACGAAGCCAAGAAAACACATAAAAAGAGAGAAAACCCAAAGAAAACCAAGTAATGCTGGTGAAAAAGAAAGGGAAAGGAAGAAAACCAAAGAAAATCAATGGCAACCGAGGAAAGAAACAAAGAAAACTAAGGAAAATGAAGATCAAAAGAAAGAAAATTAAAAACAAGAGAAATCGTTGAAGAAACAAATGAAACCAAAAAAGAGAAAAAAGAAAACTAACGAAGAAGAATGGAAACAAGGGAAAAACAAAATAACAATGAAAACTGGGGAAAAAAAAGGAAGAAACCGGTGAAAAAAGCAAAGAAAACAAAAGACCCAAACAAAACTAGGAAGAAACAAAGGAAACCGACCTATGAAAAGGAAAAATAAAACAGAAGAAATCAGGCCCAGAAAATGATAAGGAAACAGAAACGTTCAGGCGAGACAAGAGTTATACTCGCTATAAACAAGATATAGG